GGGGCAGGGAGGAGGGCAGCCCCTCTGCTCCCAGGGCTGCGGGTGATTTGCATTTTAAATGACTTGGAGCACGCCCCTAACACACGGCACCGGAGTGGAAAGTTTGTCCTCGGGTCTCCCACCCAAACAACAACAACAAGATTAAAAGGATGTGTATTTGCTTTCGCTCCGAGCCAGCAGAAAGGCACCGTGATTACCCTGGCTGCGTTGTTTTGAATTAGCACGAAGGTTTCTGGGCTCATCTGGCATGTCTGTTTTTCCATCTATTATTATCCCATCCATCCACCAGCACATCTCCAGCCTCTTCCTGTACAAGCTCTCCCTCGGTGCCTTGATGCACAGTCCTGGTTCCAGCTCTGCTGGTCCCTGGGTCCGGAGCTTGGGCTTGCTTTTGCTTCCCCTGCGTTTGGAGTGTCCCTGCTCACGGGTTATTAAGAAGTCGCGTACAACCAAGTGACTAGAGGGGAGTTACAATGAGGAAGTGAAGCTCGCGGGGGGTTTTTCTTCATTCAGAGGTGATGCTCAGGTGTCTCCTGGCACCAGGCAGCCCTGAGGACCTGGCAGGACTTCCCTATGGAAGGATGCTTCTTTCTGCTTTAATTTCACTGTTATAAGTCTACAAATCTTCTCATTATTTATCAAACCTCATGCTAGAGAATAGGTTTCTTCATTGCTCTCTCTTTTGGAGGGAGATAAAGGGCATTGGCATCCTTCTGCCCACTCCCAAGATGAATATAAACACTTTTGCTTGCTGGCAAAGGACAGTTTCAGATATGGATGAGCAGTCTCAAATGTGCCATGCTTTTATTATTGTAGGGTGCCTGTTCCTAGGCCTGCACAGGTCTGGTGACTGGATGTTTTTGCTGTGCTGTTGTTTTGGTGGAGCTGGAACGTGTTAGAAAAGCCTCAGCAAGGGCATCGCTCGCAAGCCTGGAAAACCCAGCTGTCTACTTAGGTCTTGGAAGAGTCCTTCAGGATATAGTAATTCATTTGTTGCTCAGAGAAGCTGTGGCTGCCCCATCCCTGGCAGTGTTCAAGGCCAGGTTGGACACAGGGGCTTGGAGCAACCTGCTCTAGTGGAAGGTGTCCCTGCCCGGGGCAGGGGGTTGGGACTGGATGAGCTTTAAGGTCCCTTCCAACACAAACCAGCCTGTGATTCTATGATATGGAGTGTAGTAGTGTGTGGCGGATGTTCTTCAACCCTCTTTTTAAAGCCTGCTCATAACCCTCGCAGTAGTGTGGTGGTTTGGTTGGCTTTTATTTCTTAAATAGAAACAAACCACTGGAGGGGATCATCTCTCTCATTCCGTGCAATCACACGCAAGGTTTGGTGTCTGTGCTGCTTGGATGTCCGCAAAACCAAAGTTACCTTTTGAAATGATTGTACAGCTAAATAAAGAATGCTGGATTTAACCCCCCTGATTTTATAGCTACACTTCAGGGCTGATTCTTACAAATATCAGTCCCAGTTCTGTGATGGTGCTTAGAAATCTGCCTTCCCAGTAAACAATTCTGAATGTTAACAAAACCATCTGATTGGAAAGGAAGCTCTAGTAAGATAGTTAAGAACATTTACGAATTGTATTGTCAACTCTGCCTTACTCATGTTCGGCTCTCCTCCTTCCTTGCTCTCCTCCTTCCTTGCTCTCCTCCTTTCTTGCTTGCTTCCTTTTTGAAGCAGCGGGCACAGAAGCTTGCACTGGCTCCAGCTGAGTTCTTGCCTTTGGCCTTAAGCCCGCTGCTAAAGATGGACCCAGACTCCTCTGTCATTGCTTTCATGTAGCTTCTATTTTCTTGTGCGTATGCCTTGGCTCATCTCACAGTCGGCTCTTTCAGTTTAACTCTACCATTGCATTCGTTTTCCTGGCTGATGTGGAATAATAGACATTAGAGAGATGGAGAGAACATACTGTGGGTCATGTCTGGTCCATCCCCTGGGGAACATCACAGGATTGCTTCCAGCAGGATATTTTCAGATGCTTTGTCCAACCTAGTTTCAAATGTCCCAAGTGACTGGGATTCCATTCCAACTGCTAGCTTGCATTTGAAGGTGGAATAAGGAAGGTATAATTTGTTCTTTCCTAGGAGACTCCTATAGTCTTGTCTCAGATGCATAGTGTTACTTCTTACCACTATCTTCACCAGCCTCTGTTGCTTTAAACCCACTTGCGTGGTGGCTAAGAGCCCTTTAAGGGTCAGAAATACTTCCTTTGGGACTCACATAGACCATCCTTGGAGAGTTAGAGGGAGGAGATCACAGAAGGAGGTGAACAATCTTCAAGCAATGTTGCCCCGTCAGAGAAGGGCTACTTGTAAATAAGTGGGAGCTGCAGCTTGCAGAGGGAGACCCTGAGAACATCACTAGTGATGCAGAAAGCCAGAGAGACATGTGGTATAGCTGGATAAAACCAGATCAGTTGGGTTAGCAGCTGGAGACTTGTATTGGCACAGAACCTACTCACAAGAGTAGTCCTAAACAGCCTGAACTGGGTGTTTTTGGAAGCATGCTGAGAAAGGCTGGACTCGAGGGTGTGCGGGATAAATGGGAGTTCCACTTGGTGTCTGTCTGAATTCTCATCGAGGTTATTTCCTCCATGCTGCTGAGATTTTATCTTAGTCCAAGTTATGGTTAAGGGGCTTCATAGCCATCCTTTTCACAGCTTTATGTTTAGATTGCTAGTGACACTTAAGAGGTAAGAAATTACTCTGTTTGTGTTCCCTAGGCCAGAGTTAGCCACAGTTTACGAAGCACTCCATCCCTGCTTAGGCCAGGTTTCCATAGGAATTTCTCATCCTGGGCTTGAGCTTATTTGAAAGCTTGAGTAAATGGACCTCTTGCAAAATGCCCACTGTTGCTGGGTGTGGAAACTCGAAAGAGGACTAAGATGTGGTGTAGATGTGATTTTTGGGTTTTGCCACCCATCTCTGACTGCTAACAGCTCTGGCAACCTTTCATATACCCCTGACATATGAAACAGTTGATTTAAAGATGGGCTAATGAACTCTCTTTGCTTTTCTTCCAGCTTGCTATGGAATTGTCCAGGTTCCTACCGGACCCTGGTTCTGTCGGAAATGTGAATCTCAAGAGAGAGCCGCCCGGGTGGTGAGTACGGAGCCCACTTGTACTTACACTGAGTAGGTTCATTCAGTGCCCTTCGTGCCACTACTGGGAGCACCTGGCAGAAGCTGTAGAGCCTGGAATTCCAGCACTGCTGTGATTGCAGCCCCAGCTCTGCCTGTAACCTGCTATATCTTGTTTATACCACAGGAACAGTTGTGTTAACCAATTTGATACGATGCTGTTAGCCATTTTGATGCAGAAGTCTGCTTTTAGGCAAGTTATCAATGTCAACAGTTTTGAGTCTTAGAGACCTCAATCTTATTTAGGAAAAAAGGAAATCATGGCATTCTTCTGAAAAGTGTTTTCCCTGCTCTGCAGGAAGCTTTGGAGTGGAGGAAAGTCAGCATCCAGAGATGCTGCTACGCTGTCAGAGTTACTGTGCTGGCTGCCAGGGTGGATTGGCACTCGGATCTCCCTTGTAGCAACATTCTTCCGCATAAAGCCTTCTGAGTTAGTGAAACAGCAGAGAAAGTGACAGGAAGGTGGATCAGGGCTTAGTTTCTGGCTAAAGCAGTGATTCAGCAGTCTAGAACATTTACAAATGTTCTCAATTAATTCTGGCATTTCCCGGTGAGGCAGGAAAGTGGAAACAATCAGGCCCAGGGCTGCCTCTGAGCTCTATGTGGCAAAGTTATTTGGGCAGTAAACTAGGCTGTGAGTTTATAGCACACCAGCTACTCTGCAATTACTTCCCACGTGAGCCCTTATCAGATGTGGCTGCAACATAGAGTATGTCGAGTTGGAAGGGACCCATAGGGATCATCGAGTCCAACTCCCTGCTCCTCCCTAACAGCTGCTGAGGCACTGGGATGTAGATCTTCAATGTGTTAGTGATGCCATGGGTGCTGCTTTTGCCATACAGTAAATCTTCCTGATTTCCTGCCTTTTGAACTGCTTTAGCTGAACCTTTTCTATTCACACGCTTAGTAAAGTTGATGTAGGTGAGCTGTGGGTCTGTGGATCTGCACAAATAGCGTGCTTCATCTCAGCTGGGCTCTGCTCACTGCACTGCAGAAGTTTAATCTGTTTCACAGATGGGCGAAGAACTTGGCAAAGATGAGTGAATGGGGGAATTAGGTATCTGTACCATGCTTTTGACATTGCATTAACTCATTCCTCATTGGAAGTGGGAGTGTAAACAAGACCAGACTTTCAGACCTGAGCTCTTGTCCCATTGTAAGATGTTGCTTTTATGTGCACTGCAGTAAAGAAGATCAAATGTGTCTTTGAGTGGTTTTACATCCTGCAGATAGTTTCATAGCAGAGAAAGGAATTTGGGTTTCCTGGGCCACCTTCCCCCCACTCTCCCAACTGTGCAGGTAAAGTGAAGCCATTCAGCATGAGCTACAACTCAGTGTAAGCTGTAGTAACACATGTACACACAATCCTCCTCACCTGTACTTATTGCAAGGACTAACTTTTCACGTGCACATTACACACTTCAGGCTGCCTCCAAGATATCAAGAAAACAATAACCCTGCAGGTGGCTCCTTATTTAACTTGCTCTGGGTGAAATCCGTTAGACAATGCCTGGTGGGCTTCAGTCATGCCATTCAGTGCCGTGGCATTCAGCCCTGCTACTATAATAACTGAACAGTGATAATCTTCCTTCCTAAGCAGAGCTGGGGCTGATTTCCTATCTAAATCCCTTACCTTTTCAGTTAAACTCCAGCAGTCATAGCAACAGATATGCAGATGGGTAAATCTAGTTCTTTGATATAAGGAACAGCATGATCAGAGTAAGGGAAATGAATCCGGTCTGATGAGATCTGTGCGTGGCTCAGCTACTAAACCACTTCAGATTTGGGCTCTGTGATCCAGCAAGGCTGGAGGGTATGACTCTTCCACTGGCCCGGGGTTCCACTGCTTTCTCCAGCTATAAAAAGGGCATTACCAGCCTGCAGACACTGCCTTGAGGAGCTTGAAGGAGAGATGCTGAGATTTGAGCACAAAATAGCCTGGCAGCAGCAGCAGGATGGATTGCTATTCGTGTTTCTTTCGTAATGACTGTGTGGCAAACTCCTTTGAAAAACAACATTTTTCTTCCCACATCTGCCTTCATGGAAGAATCTCAAAGCAGTTTACAAGCTTTGTCCATAACAAACATATTTATTGGCTAAATATTGATACTTCTGCTTTGAAAATGAGATACAGAGGCATGGAGAATGTTGCACTCCTCGGTGAGTGCTTTTAAAACATAGCTCTCCTGATTCCTGTATGTGTCCCTTGGAGAGATGGGCTACATCCCCAGATCAGCTTTGGAAAGAGGGTTCAGGTGTAGTCTGGTGGTAAATCTCAGAGTTAGGAGCCCCAGGGGGTCAGGAGCTCTCATCTTACCCATCACAACCTGATTTAAAGCAACCAAGCTCATCTCCTTTTCCCAGAGTCGAAATAAACCCCCCAGAGACCTCCTTGGCCTGTGCAGGTTGAATAATAGGAAGAGGTACTGCTAATCCCTGCTCATAACCCCTCCTCAGATGCTCAGGTCCCTAAAGGATGCTGTGGATGCTATTGTGCTTACAGTAAGCAACTGAAAGCCCATCCACTTTGTAATCAAATTGTCTAGGAAGCCCGGTGAGCTGAATGGCCAGAGGGCACTCATGTGAGGGATCATGTGAAGGCTTTAGCTGTCATTTGGAGGCAGGGCTATTAAAAGTCTTGTGTGGGGCCGATGGAGCTGTTAACCCCTCTTGTTACAATCAGAGCTTTGCTAATCGCATGGTGGGAGAGCCGCTTTGATCTGAGGGGTGGAGGGGAGAGCGGAGGGGCCTTTTCAAGTGCAAATTTCTTATTACAGTGTCTCAGTTAACCCATTTCTTTTTCTGTCTTGGCTCTGCCGGGCTTTCCATAGTAATTGTGAGAGCAGCTCTCTGGCAGCCCAGACCTAACCAGGAACAGTAAGAAACCCCTCCTGTGCCACCCATCCCTATTTCAAGCTAAGTTGCAGAGCAAGTGAAACAGGCTCCCAACAGCAGTGCTGGTCTTTGTCCCTCATCTCTTCTTCTACATTATCACAGGGATTCTGTGCTTGCCAGAGGTGCCTGTTTGACAGCCTTCCATGCTTGACTCCCATGAAAGTGCTTGAGGACTGGGCTCAGCCTCCCTTGCTGCCCATTGCATTACAGTCCTATTTATTGTGCCAGCCTGTCCAGAAGGTAGAACTGCAGCAGAGGGAATCTTGCTTGAGGAAAACCACCTTTGTGGAAGGTCCTCGGGGACTACTTGGTAGCAGAGGCTTTTTCTTGTAGCCTGTTACTGCTCACTACGCTGATGTTTTTTGAGGCATGGAGCATCTGCTCCGTTGTGCTCACCAGAGCTGAGCGATCACAGTGGAGCGCGGGCAGGCGAGAGCACTGGGTCCCACACACTCATAGTGGCAGAGCCTCCCGCCTCCCTTTGACATCAGGCACCTCATTTAGAAACTTTCTGACAAAGCACATTTTTCACAGAAAACAGGGGGGTTTGTTTTGGTTTTTTAACAAATCAGACATTTCAACTAGGGGAGGAGAAGGAAAAGGACTTTTTCACAAGGGACAGGCCAAGGGGAATGGCTTTAACCTGCCAGAGGGGAGACTGAGATGAGCTCTTGGGCAGAAGCTCTTCCCTGTGAGGGTGCTGAGGCGCTGGCACAGGGTGCCCAGAGAAGCTGTGGCTGCCCCATCCCTGGCAGTGTTCAAGGCCAGGTTGGACACAGGGGCTTGGAGCAACCTGCTCTAGTGGAAGGTGTCCCTGCCCGGGGCAGGGGTTGGAGCTGGAGGAGCTTTAAGCTCCCTTCAACCCAAACCAGGCTGGGATTCTGTGAAAAGGTTTGCACCTTCTCATGCCTTTTTTTTTAAGTCAAAGAAACCAAAAAGCACATTGAAATCTCCCCTGAGCGAGGCCATGACAAGCCAGCGGCTGTTTTCAGGTCGCTCAGCAGGGAGGAGCCCTCAGACATCCTCTGTGCATGGCAACACACCCCAAAACCAGCCCTCCTTTCACCAACCCTTCATAAAGGCGTTATGGAGGGGGGCAGAGCCCTCTTGGGGTAACAGACCAATGTGGAGGCTAAAAGGAGTGAGGGGCTCATGCCCGATGCCCCTGCGTCTGCTGAACCTCAA